AAAAAAAAACTAGCAAAAAGGAGTGCAAAACGGAAAAACAGAGACCGATTTTCCTTTAAAAAGTTCACAGCTCTGCAAAACCGTGCACAACTCGCATATATTTGGATGATAAGATCATGTCGGCGGTAAGGACACAAAGAAGAGAGATAACAAAAAATTTTTTGTGAACACATGTTGTAACATCCAGACGTACACATTTCTTTTTGCAAAGTTGAAAACGGTAAGTTCAATTTGACAGTCTGTGAAAAAAATAAGATGAAATCTAATGGAAAAGTTTTTTAGTGGCTGCTTCTAGAAAATGGTATGCTCTTCAGATTATTTATGCTCAAAACGACGATAGTCAATAGATTCTTGGAAAAACAGATCAATCTTCGAGCAGATTAACTAACGAGGTTGGAAAAAAAGACAAACCAACCTTTGTTGAATCCGCTGTGGGAGAATGCTGACGAGAATCTGTTCCATTCACAATGATATCCTCCTGTTTCGCTGCATCCAATGTTGGCCATTCAGGATCCACATTTTTCGACCTAGGGGTTCCATCAACGACTGGTGCTACCACAGCAGAAGATGGATTATCTACCTTGACCTAAATACGTTAGACGAGTAGTTATTTCGAAATTAGCTGTTGACGATGGAAGAGAAACTCGTTGGCAAATTACTGCATTTGAAAGATGGAATAATTACCTCTATTTCTTGCTCAACTTGTTTGTGTTCTTCCACATTGGACGTATTGCCAACATCGACACTTTGAGTAGAATCAGTTGAACCTAAAGCAAGAATTTGATATGAAGATCACTGGATTTAGAAAATGGATGGCACCTTTGTTTCTGAACCATGCATTTACAGCTGGCAGTGGCGCAGGCTCTAACACTACAGGCTCCTGGGGAGGCACTGGCTCTTCAGCGCTTGGCGCTTTTTCCTCTTTTACAGGTTCTGGCTTATTCCCTCGTTTATCATGACGGTCTCTGTACTTAGGTGGGCGACGACGATTCCCGAAATTTCTGTCGTGTTTCTCTTGCTTCTCACTACTGCCTTTCTCTGGTCGATCTGCGCGTTCAGCTTTATCATGCCTTTTCTCATTTTTGTGGTCCGGCTTCTGACTGGATGCTGCTGCTACCGTTGCTGGTGTGGGACGAGTATTAGGCGATGCGGGGCGAATTTGAGCTGCTTGTGCAGTATTCGTCTCGCTAGTTTGGCCTGAGACCACCTTAGCAAACGAGAGCATGGGCTGCCTCTCGGCCATACCTCCCCTCCAGTCTGGATTCCTTACTCCCGGCGACCGTTCAAAACCTTAAAAATGATCTAGCAATATTTACTTGCTATCTTCACATATATGCTACCCGAAAACTCGATCAAATTCGACCGTACAACTTCCCAAACGGGAAAAATGACAAATTCTCGCAATAATAAACAAGTTACACAAGTAAAACAATTAAAACAAAGGGCGGAGCATAAGTGGAAAGGTGACATGGTTCGACTGCTTGGATCTCCACACGGCGCGAAACGAGTCTCCTGCAGCTGCGCGCGGTGTAGGGGCTGCTACGCAGCGCGGCTGGCACAAACCTCGTTCGCTGAACTTGCGCTCGATGGAATGAGATTGACACGGAACACGGGGAGCCTGTTTGGAAGACTGAAATCGGGAAAAAATTGTCGCCGTTGAATATTCGGTTGAACTGGTTTGTGTATAGATCTTAGATCAGTTAACATTAGTACAAGGATTCAAAGTTCATCATCAGTAGGTGATTCAGTTGGGTAGAATCAGTCTGGAGCCAGGGTTGACCTATTTTGTTGATTTCTCTTGGCTGTCGATTCCTCCCCAAAACTTATGCATTCTCTATATTGCCATCGCTGTACTGATGTCTTTTTTAATGCGATTGACTTTGGGAAAAGGTAACTATCAATCCTACTACGATTCCTCATTGAGGTTACCGCAGGCTAGTGTACACCTTTAACGGAGGAGCACTGCAGAGGGAAGGACGGTGAAAGCTAGTGCTGTAAAGCGCAGTTTTGAATGTTTGTTCAATGG